ACAGCTGAAAACTCATCTCTTTAAACGCTACTTGACTTCATTCTAAATAAAAAAATTAAAAAGGCACTTTGTCTTTCTCTTTATTTATTCCTTCCCTTTCTAGCTTGTACTTGTTTAAACAATGCCTGAAACTTGGTATTTACGAGCACTTCCTGTGTATAAAAAATAAAAAATCGCTTTATGTATTCCCCAATTGTAAGTCGCTTTGGATAAAAGCGTCTGCAAAATGACTACATGTAAATGTAAGAAAAATTATATTGTTTAGCCTTTGAATTAAGATCATTTTTCTTACCCCACTGGCAGATATTTTTGCTCGTTTTAAGCAAAAACTAGCAAATGTTTAATGTTTTTATTTAGAAAACAAGACTTAATATCTTATGTGAATGCATCTTGATTCAAAAATGTTTAGATATTTATAATAGAAAACAAGATGAAAATACTAAGTAAGAAAATAATTTTTTTGCATGAAGTCTTCTAATTTCTGGTTGAAGTGGATTGGCTACAAAAGTGCTGCTTTGACGACTATTATGACATTATTTTACCTCTCGTTTAACTAAGAAATAATATTTAAATCAAGGCTGTTTCTTGTGACTTTCTTCTCTTTAAAATTAGAAATTGCAAACAGCGATGAACCGATGATGATTCTTATTTCATATTAATGTCATCTCTAAACTGAAATAATTTATGAAACAAGTGTGATGTTTAATAAAGGGAGTTTAAGACTATGTCTTCATCTAGAGTGTGTTTTAATTTAAAATAAATGTAAATTTGCAAACAACCCTGATTGAACTGGCCTTTTTTGAAAATTGCTTTTAATTCCAAATTACAGTAAAAATGATATTTTTTCCACTAATGTAGCACATTACATTGATACAGTAATTTGATGTGTTTGAGTAATTTGAGAATGTTTGCGCTTTACATTTGCACATCATGCTGCTTCTAGATAAATTATGTTAAGATAAAGATAAAAATGTAGATAGACCCATCTATGAGATACACATACATGTATATATTTATATAAATCATATATTTAATATATAAACATTTTTCTTAAATATATACATGCATGTGTGTATTTATATACACATAATAACACGCACATACTCTATATTATGTACACAAAACGTTTATTTTGGATGCGATTAATCTTTGCCCAGCACTAATAAATACATTACATTTATTTACTATTATGAAGCACTTCACAGTTCACTAGTATTACAGTGACACTGTATTGATTTAGTATTTATAATTTGATAATCAATAAAAATGTGATGCGTTTCCACAATTTGTTAGCTTTAGTCCCTGCACAAATGGACTCACCTAAGAGCTGCACCAGGTTTGGGTGTTTGATTTCTTTCATGACCGCAGCTTCTTTTAAAAACTCCTCCACTTCCATGGTGTCCTCCTGCACAAGAGGAAAAACTGTTCTCAACCAGCATTCATCGCTGCATTAGGATTGTCATGCTCTAATGCAATAGAGGGCCACAGACATGTAGCAATAGCCAACAATACATTGTATGGGTCAAAATTACAAGAGTTAACATACTGTAACATTGTAACATTCAAGAGTGATACACTGTTTCCGGTTAAATCCTGGTTGTTCCTGCGTGAATGCATTAATGAGGCTTCTTCAGTGCATTCGAGTGTGTTTAAATGCACCTTTTTAACCATTCATTGGTGTGATAACTGCATTTTGAACACTTTATTCATCTATACGCTTCAGATGTAGCAGGAGGGTCAAGAACTTGGATTCATGCCATGTTTATCTGTCAAGTGTCCTGAATGGAGTTATATGATACTGGCTGTGTAATTATTAAAAGCAGCTATCCTTACTAATTGCCAACGTTTAAGCAATTGTGTACATTTTGAAACGTCAGAGCAGGTTAAAAGTGAGCAGCTGAGCTGGAATGGTGTGTGGGGCTCATTCCTGACGGCTTACACTGGAGATTCCAGCAGGGAAGTGTGAGGCGGCCGAGGCGCATCAGGCATGCGAGGAATGAGCGCAGCGGTCATCAGCGTGCAGCAGGAATGCAGCGCTGCTGTGCATGCGTGACACATGGACTCACTCATCAACGACTGCCTTCACTACTGAGCGCTGCTGTCAGGAGAGCACTTCAGCATGCTATTGGAACACACTCCATAAGGGATGCACTGAATGTTCCGCAAGAAAATAGCAAAAAAAGCACTTTCGGTGTTCGGCTGAATAAGCGAAAAGACCAAATAATATGAACTAGGGCTGTCAAAATGGCTGAAAAACTAAATTTGAATTTTGTACTTAAACATTATTAATATTCGAATTTAAAATGCATAATTTCAGTTAGGGGGGAAAAAAGCGTTTGGCTTCTCTCCTGAGGCCACAAGAGGGTGCATCGAGCAAAATATTACTAATGCACGTTTCTTCAAAGCAATAAAATAACACGACTATCTGTTTAAAAAGTGCATGATGTTTAAAATAATGCTTATAGACCATATAGAGCTGCATTTAGTGCATCTAGTGGCTTCAACTGGATAAGCTAACAAAAGCATTAAAATGCAACGACACTTACATCGTTACAGCATCTCGTGCGCCACTGATAAAGCCGCCTGACGCACGCCTAAAATTTGAATGCAACATTTTTGCATTCAAATGTGGATTATATATTTTAAATCCGACGAATATTCGAAATTCGAATTTTTTTTTGACAGCCCTAATATGTACCGAACAATGCTGTGACGCGATCAAATAGAGGCGCGCACTAATGCAACAAACATGTCTGCAGTGTGAAAGCATTTAAAACTGTCCGAGAAAGACGCAAAAATCATTAGATAAAGCCGCCTGACGCACGCCTAAAATTTGAATGCAACGTTGTTGCATTCAAATGTGGATTATATATTTTAAATCCGACGAATATTCAAAATTCGATTTTTTTTTTGACAGCCCTAATATGTACCGAACAATGCTGTGACGCGATCAAATAGAGGCGCGCACTAATGCAACAAACATGTCTGCAGTGTGAAAGCATTTAAAACTGTCCGAGAAAGACGCAAAAATCATTACAAGCACCGACAGCGAGAGACTGTTTAGCACTGCATCACGTCTCTGTATGATGATTGAAATCGCGAAATGGCCTCAAACGATCAGTAAATAAACTCGAGCTCGCAGCGCTATCTGCTTGTTAATCAAAATAATAAATAAATGGAAGGTTAACTGACACTGCTACTGAACTAAACTAAATCAACTACATAAAGCTGAATAATGACTCTATTGTCTTCTATAGAGCTGTTTATAGATTAAACGTGTTTCATAGTTGAATTCTGCAGCATTAACACTTTTATTTTCCTGATTATTACTGTAAAGCTGCTTTGAAACAATGCATGCAAATAATAACTATTAATACAGTGGCTTGCCAAAAAAATTTTTAATTCAAAATTAATTTTTTGAAATTGCTAGCAACTGTTATTTAATTTCTATTGCAATATTAAGGAAGCTATGATGCTTCTCACCAGCCAATGCGATGCATGTCAACAGTGAGGAAATCAAGACTAGTCAGCAGCCAGTTAATGAGCTAGTCTAAGTATCGTTAGTGAGTTCATTACATAATTAATTTCAGGGTGGGTAAGGGAATTAATCTTCACGTTCAGCATTTCTGTGCTCCGTCACAGAACTCCACTGTGAGGAAACAGCCACCTGAATGCATGAGTGATATCACTGCATGCAGATTTATTTTTACATGAGAAACAATTACCGTCTGAAAAGGGCTTGAGCTTTTAAAAAATTGATATTTAGGGCCCTATGAAATCAGTCTTATTTTTTCCCAAATTCCATTTTTTCCATTTAAATTTTTCCAGATTCTTTTTTTTTTTTTTTCTGTTTTAATTTTTCTAGACTCTGGTTTAATGGTTAAATTTAAATTTTATTAATCAAAAAGCATGTCTATTTAATTGAAATCATGAAACTTACAATATTAAACAGCAATTTAAATTTACATTTAGTCATTTAGCAGACGCTTTTATCCAAAGCCACTTACAAATGAGGACAAACGAAGCGCTGCTTTGTTTACAGCGGTAACCAAGGAAACACTGTATCATTGCATGGAAGAAATAAAAATCAACAAAAGAGCAATGATACGCAGATTTATTAAAAGTTTAACAAAAATTGCATTAAGGCCTTTTTAACTGTCCCCCCCCCCCTCAAATGTAGTTTTATTTTTTTTACAAAATTCAGTTTTCCATACATTTTCTGGATTCCATTTGAATGGTTTCATTAATATTAAGAATCAGAAGCATCTCTAATTAATTGATTTTATTAAATGCGCCATTCATTCACACAGAGACACGCAGAACATGCAGGATTCATATTTAAATAGTATTTTTGCAGTTTAATATTCAGAGACACTAGTCCATATCTGATTTAGTTCATGTTCTGATTTAGGTGTACTGACCTACTTTTGATGCATCCGTCCTAAATTTGGCAAATTTCGTGACATTCCGCGTTACACAGTAAATTCCGTTTCTATGACTTGGATTCCGTGATTCCGTCCGTGTTTTCCGCATCACAGAAATCATAGGGCCCTAGATATTACAAACTAGTTTTATTTGTACACATCACTCAGCATTCTCAAACGAAATTGCTCGCTAGAAGCTTGCGTTCTGCTAGTGAACGGCGTATTATTGTTCATCCCAAAGAGACACAAAATCACTTTCACTGACTTTTACATTAACTGTTCCCTCCTGGTGGAATGACCTGCCCAACTCAATCCCAGCAGCTGAGTCCTTAACCATCTTCAAGAATCGGCTAAAAACACATCACTTCTACCTTCATTTGACCATCTAACTCTAGCACTCTCTATTCTAATTCTATTCTTAAAAAAAAAAAAACTTGCCCCTTTTAGACTCATTTCATTTACTAACTGCTTGTTTTCTTAAAAAAAAATAGCTTGCTCTATTCTATGTTTTCTTTTTATTTATTATATAATTAAAGAAAAAAAAAAAACCTCGCTATGTGTACTGGGTTAAGCTAACTGAGACTTGTTATAGCACTTGTGTATCATTGCTCTTTTGTTGATTTTGATTGCTTCCATTGTCCTCATTTGTAAGTCGCTTTGGATAAAAGCGTCTGCTAAACGACTAAATGTAAATGTATATTTCAGGCTAGTGAGAGTGTGTATTTCACCCGCCGCTAATCAGATGTGTATAATCTGATATTATCTCTAACCACTGAAGCATCAGTGGAAACACTCTCTGGTTCTGAAGCTCACCTTGCCGTCGGAGGCCGTGTTGATGCGGTAGTGGTAGACGCGGCCCTCGCAGCGCAGCGAGATGGACCTCTGTCCCGGGCTGCTCTCGCTCTCGCGCACCAGAAAGCTGCCGTTGATGCCGCTGCTCAGAAGGTACTCGGCTGCGTTGCGGGACACGGGCCCGTGGTACCAGCTGTGCTTCTCCAGGCTGTTGACGGGCGTGATGTAGTTGCTGGGAACCCAGCCCTGGCCGTTCTTGGTCTGCGCCTCGCACCACTCACCATTGTGATTGTATCCCAGAACCCTCAGCTTCTCTCCTGATCAGAGCATTATGTCAAAGTCATTTCAATGTCTATTAAGGCCGAAAAATAATTGATTTACAGCTGTGCCGTTGTAATTGTGGAAAGTGTGAATTAAAACAGATGCACATTAACTCCCGCTTCATAGCCAATCACAGACTGTCGGCTGAGCACATGAATGCATTAGAGATGTAATGGTATGAACATTTCTTATCACCTAATTATCACGGTTATCAGTATTATCACGGTGTTGTTAAAATGTGCTGGAAATATTCAAAATGTACGGACACATAAATCGCTACACCATGTTTTGTATTGAAAATCAACAAATAATAAATAAAATTACTTTTTGTTTGCATAAACACTAAAACAATAGCATTACCAATGATGTCTGGAAGTGACAACGTGACTGACAACAGTTTATCTAATAACATGTACGAAATGCTCAAATAAAGCTTTGGAAAAGTTTCATAAAATGGTAAACCAAACATTTCAGCCTTTAAATAAAGAAAAGGGTTAAGGCAAAATGATACACACGTGACACTGTTAATTAAAACTGTGCTTAATGCTGGATAGTATTTATTTATACGGAGTTGTTGAAATTGTGGAAATCGAATACGGTTTTAATGATACTTAAAATATGAAACGTAATACTAACCGTGGGGAATTTTATTATGATTTATCGTCAAACCGGTAATGGTTCCATCCCTAGAATGCATCGACCAATCAAGAGGCGTTTAAATCCATTTAGTCCATAAACTAAAAAATCTACGTTGTTTTCATGACTTTAAAAAAAAATAAATAGAGAGACTGATAACGGCAGAACGAAATCAAATTTACCGTCACTCCCATAGACGCTGCATTAGAAACATCCTCGCATTAGAGTCAATTAGTTTTTTGCATTTTGGTGCAAAGGTAATATAATACAAAATATAAAGTTATAAATGTTAATGCATTTTTAAAAATATATATATATAAAAAACTTGAAGATTTACGATGCTGACGACCGTTAAAACGCGTCAACACAGTTTTGTGAAAAGGGTCCACTGACAATTGACCTATCGGTAAGCCCCGCCCCCCTTAGTTACTGTTGCTCCCTCGGACAAACAAACGGAGTTGCTACTGTCTTACAATGACAGCTGTCAGTGTGAAAACCTTGTCCCTATATCTTTTTGAAACATTTTGGACACAGAAGGACCACCATTCAAGTGGGACTTTAATATGCCGTGGAGGGATATATAAAAGATTTTAAAATACATATTGTGGGTATTAATTTGGAAGCGAGGGTTTACAGATCACAATGCAAGCGGGAGAAGCCTCATGTTACATTCAACACGATCGCAGATAACAGCATCCCGGATCAACACTGTTCATGTATCGCAGGGTACGATTAAATTAATTTACATTTAACCGGTTTAATATGAAGAGACACTGAAATGTAGACCTTCGTTTATGTGTTTTTGCCCTACACTGTACAAGACGCGAGAACAGTCCGCTATTTAGGTTTGTATGGACTCACTAACTTTAACGTTAGCTAGTTT